TGTTGTGTTAAACCAATACTCCATTTATTTTCATAGTTCTTCGTATTTCGCCTTTGAATCTGGTTATTGGTGAAATTCCATTCTTCTTCGGTTTCGATGGAAATTAGGTCCCCTCCTTGGATTTTGCAAACGATTCTGTTCCACTTCCAGGACCATCCATATACCGAAGTTATGTACCAAGAGTTTTTAAAAGTTATATCTGGGCATTCTACAAAATGATGAAGATGACAACAAAAATACTAATCATCACAATGATAATAAACAAAGTAATAATTACAATAATTAGGATAACATAAAAAAATTATAATCACAATCTCAATAAAGGAGGAAAATAAATGAGATAGAAAACGTGACTTATTCTCTATTTGATTCCCATTTTTATAACATCTGCAGTTTATGTTTGATCGGTGTCAATTAATACAATACATCTTTCTTCACTACGGCGTCCGCCATCTCTGACCTGCCTTTCTGAATTAGTTAATTTCTCAGCAGGTAAGATTATCTGTGAGTTCACGTAATTTTGGTAGTTGAGATTTTGAATATCAATTAGTTCCTCGTTGAGCTGACACCTCCCCCTCCCCTGCCCCCTTTTCTTCCTTCTTCCCCTCCCATCTGAGCAGACTTCGAAAAAACGTAAAGTTTTCATAACTGTCCAACTGTAGATTCGCAGTTAATCTTATACAGTGGTTACGGGAAAGTTTGTCAGAAAAAAGAGCTAAAATTTAAAGAGCACGGGACAATTTCAAAAGATTATTAAAAGTTGTGAAACGCACAATTTCGATCGCTGTTCTTCCAGCTGCAGCCGATGCAAAGAAGGATAATAGTAGAGTGATCAGTTTTTCTTTTGAAACATGTGTCCCGGAAACTTTCATGGGCATTATGTTCAATAATAACCCGCGTTTAAAAGTTCTTTCGTCTCTCACACGTACAAGTTTAGTGGGGTGAGCATATTCTGTGAACGATATTTTTACTTTTCAGAAGCAAGAGCAATTTTCATGACACAAGTGCAAGACTGTAATGTTTCAGCACATTATATAATTTACGGTTGGGATGTGATCTTACCTCCGGGCGTCTCACAAATGTAGGCATTTCTACTTAACGTAGACAGGATACCATTAAAGAAGCCTCCATTCTTATATATTTCCGCCCTTATGTCTTCCCCATCTGGCTCAGAATCTCGCCATTTCGAAATATTCAGTTGTTCTCCACTCACCCAAGTCCAAACCCCACCTTTTTCCCTAAACCAATTTAACACGCACCGGTAGTCCAAGTATCACGTTTTTTAATCTCACCATTGATGAACTGCCATTCTTCTTAAGTTTCGATGGAGACTAAATAACCTCCCTGCCTGGAGCAGATATTCCTGTTGCACACTGAAGCAAAAATTAGAATTAGGCATCGTTTTACAGGTGGAAATTGTGGATATCAGGGTAGTAGCACCGTTATTCCTTGACCTTTTTGTTTTGATCTCCAACTTACGTTTTAAATCACAATCCGATGTAATTCTAGCAGGAAGTCTTTGACTAATTATTAGTATAATCTGTCAGATATTATCGTTTTTTCCCCGTTCATTTTAAGGCGCATAAATGTTAATATTGGAATTTCACTGCCTAACCTGTTCCTAGCAAATCCATCAACAAATGAAGGATGACTGTAGGAGAGAAAATAAGCAATAAGTTAATTCAAGTCTAACATTTGAGACAATGAAAAAGTTTATTAGATTTTGAGTTAGACGGTGCTAATGCATTTAATTTGCTACATGCCTTTTGATATGTACCCATGAAATTTATTACCTTCCTGGGGAGCAAACGGAGAAATTTTAAATCCAAAATGTTTTAGCTCGCAGCAATACGAAAGGACAATGTTTCTCTGAGCAAATTACTCGGGTATCTTTTGGTCTCCAAAGTTTTGTGAGAATTTTTCCATTTTCTTGGGTGTTACTGCGGAACCCATATTATATATATATTTATCACATAAACTGCGGTGTTATAGAGGGATTTCCGGCCCTGAGAAAAGCCGTAACAACACACGTGAAAAAATATCGTCTTTTTTCACGTGTGTTGGTATAGCCAATCAGCTGCTGACACTCGCCTGACTCACTCGCCTTTGGCGCCACGCGGTCAAGTTGATAAATGATTGGCAAAGGCTTCACCATTCTCAATACTAGTTGTTTATCGGAGCTTTCTCGAATTATGGCGGCTAAAACACTAAAAAATCTGTATTGCTGACAGACAGTGAGGTTCAAACTTTCATAGAGAGGAAGAAAACCAATATACTAAAAGAAAAACCAAAAGTTACGTATTCAGTGGCTTTGGTATTAGCATTTCTTTCGGCTGAGAATGAAAATCGACAACTGGAGGATTTGCCACTGGCCGATTTTGGCCGTTTACCTGAGAGACTTTTTCTGTCAGTAAGGACAAAGTCAATAAATGAGAATTTTGTAAATTGAAAATTACGACCATTGTTGATTTTTTAATCATGATTCAACGCATTTTTCCATCTCAGGAGTTAGCCCCAACGCACTTTACGATTGTTATTCGGGGATTGCCGATTCATTTCTTTTCATTTATAAATGAAGTGGGCTTTTCTTCTCAGTAAAGGGCTATTGTGGTTATACAGTCCGGGTCATAACCATTTCTGGATACTTGATGACGTCACCAACATGGATGTCGTAGTGGGACCTCGAGGAAACTCAAAAAATACTTTATTCGAGCCCTAGCGACTTTATGATTAAGTTCGATCTCTTGTCTAAGCACGTCACGTTCAGCAGCTATCTGAAGGAGAGACGTGTTTCCCTTTTGACATCTTGTCATAATGGCATAAAACGATAGCAATCGAGCTATCCTAAATATGGCTGCCAAAGCTGTTGTATAGACAACCATGACGGAAACAACATGACCACCGCATGAATGTCTCGCTTGTGCTATTTGCTTTCTGATTACTTTGCTCCGTATGAAGGGCTTCAGGAGTCCAATTTATAAGAGATCCTTCTCTAATTATGAACTAAGAGTTTAATGCGGGCATCTTTAGAGTCTGGTGTGTTTTGTTTTAATTAAGAGTGCCATATAACCGCCATCTGACATTTTTTTCTCGAATTGGTTTGGCTGAGTTTTACAAGAAGTTCCAAAATCGATATAAATGTTTCGCAAATGGAAAGTCGAGATATAATTAAGGTGGTACTAACCTAGCGCGCAAGTATTAAAAAAAACATTTGCAGACTTTATTGGACTCAGTCGTACTCATCTCGCAATTAATCAAGCGCACGATACTATTATAGGTTGCTGTCAATACCTGTCTTTACACTTATATATTGCATATGGTATATTGCATCATTAAAGTTCCGTTGGTTTAAAAATCCAAATCAATATTTCACAAATTGCAAGTCGATTTCGACGGTGTAATAGCTACAGCAGAACAAACAGGAATAACTAGCTTCGTACTTACCCAGCGCACAATGTATTGAAAGCGCTTTGAAAATTTTGCCGGAGTCAGTTCCATTTATCATCCACTTCATCATGCCCAAGATATGCAAAGGTTACTCTTAAGAGCTATCGTTACACTTAAATTTGATTCACCTCGCTTGAGAGTTTTGAATTTGCGGCATCCTCATAAAAAGCCTTTCGTACGAGTTAGATTTTAATGCAAATCATGATCTCTGATCACATGTTCATGGCGTTAGTCTCCATTTTTTTTTTCTGTCATACACGGACCAATAGACAAAAAGCAACTTGCACCAGATGTGGAGCATTGTTTTTCTTCATACAATCGAAAATTTTCACAGCATTAAAATAATTTTTATAGTTCAAGTTTTGCAGAGCAGCGACTAAAAAAATAATTGATATTAAGAATGATTATTTCTTTCTGAGCTCTACTAAATAAAATTGTCTTAAACAAACTTCTCCTTTATCAGTTCGTATGCATAAATAGAAATGATTATTATCTATTCATCTCGCCTATGACATACTGTGCGTTTCATTTGGTGGGTCAAAGTACTTCGTATGCCTTGATCTTTGATGAACTAACTCGCGCATGTATTAATTAACATGTATCGGCAAAATCGGAGTCGAAGGATTTCTTCTCGGTTTTCTTAGATCATAAGTTGGATGTGAGTTTACACCAGGTTGATCGTTAACTGATCAGAAAACCAACAGAGGCTAACGGCTTAGTGTTCAGCCTCCAAAACAACTCTCCCCTGCAAAAGCGTCAGACCACCTCTTTTGTGTCCAAATGTTCGAATTCCAACATTTTAGAAGGAGCGGTGGAGTCAAAAGCTCTCAGTGCGAGACGTTCCTGGGTCATAGTGATGCGCTCTGTGGGCGAGACATTCTAATCTCCTAGTATCTCTCCACGACCATGAAATAATTGATTAGTTATTCTGGAATATTCCCTTATCCTAGCTGCAATGTATTTAGTCAATCGAAGCCTGAAGCGCTTTAACTTATCGCATTTGAGCGTTGTAGAGAGAAATGTACTTGTATATTCCAGAATAATTCTTTTTTTTTAAACATCTTCCGTCTTAATCGTACGCTTCGTCATTCATGTTTATTTATAAATAGGTATGACGTAACCTTGACTGTCCTTAACTGTTGGCACATCGACAAAATCGACTCCTTCCCTTACTTCTTGAAATTCTTCTTCAATGCTACGTCTCCGCCGTAGTGATATTTGAAAACCGGGCCCATGGAAATATTCGGCATTTCTATCGCTAAGCTTTTTCCTTTAAATTGCATAATCTGTGTAAAAGTTCTTTAATCGTTGTTTAATGATGTCTGCCGAATAGTTTATAATCTCTTTGTTTATGCCATTTCTGGCTAAAATTGCCTGAATTAAAGTCCAAATTAATCCATGTATTTTCGATTCAAAACGATACTCCTTTCTTAGGAATCCGAAAAAAATGGGTAAATATAACTGATCCACAAAAGATCCAGTCATAAGGGGTTTTTTCAGTTCTTTCAAAACTAGTTGTTTATTTATTCAAATATTTACATATTCATCTACTTATTCATTAAGCAACAACATTGAATGTCAGCGCTAGCTGCTAAGACTTTTAGTATTATTTGTTATAATACGATTTAACCTACAGAAAGAGCATTATCTATCAACAAACCCAAATAATTTATTGAACAACTTGTAATATTCTTACCAAGGAACGTCTCTTAAAGGAGGTAGAGTAATTATCCCTAAACAAAGTGAAGCCCAACACAATTTATTAGCTCACCCCTGACACAATCTCATGGTTGTCCTCAAAGTTCCTCGAAATTCACAATCTTCCATAGTAGCTCTCTCTCAGTATAGCTTTCGGAAAAGTCAGTCACTCCCGACAACAACAAGTACTACTGCTGCACTGAGTCCTAATGTACAAATAATTCCTCAAAATTCTGGAAGCTTACAACACAACTAGATTGGTAGTGTTACATCATAACTACGTAACCTAGTAAAATTCTCGAGAAGTTCCTTGGTATGAATGTCGGCATGACTAGGCATTCTAGATTTCTGTGGTCTTATTCGAAGGACAGTCATAAAGATACTAAGCCATTAGAAATTTAAATCTATAGATTGGTTTATTTCGATGAATCTTGCCTACAACTATACGATCTTCTAGAAAATAAACTTATAATCATAAAGAAGATAGGTTACAATTACAAGTAGTTGAGTGCTTAAACAATAATGAAGAGAATGACTTCTTTTTGTCTGCAGATTGTAACTCAGACCGATCGCAACCGACTAATAGCTGATTATACTAAGTAATTGACTGTTATTTACGGCTGGCTGGATCCAGTTATTTAAGTTAAGGCGATTTCGATTTAAATTCAGCTCAAGACTGCAATTCAACTGCCCATACATTTCCAACCTCACTTGGATTGACGTGTGGGCTCTTCCTTGTGGAATTGTGGAATGGAAAAACGATGTTCATCTTTCTTTCAAATCGCTCTCTGATCTGCAGATAGACGAGCAACAAGGAATATGGTTCTTAGCACTCGGATATTTTATCGAAACACTAAGACTTGATGAGATGCAGTTGGTGTAGAATCGGTCTAATGTTTTTTCTTACCTGAGTGTTTCGCAAACCGTGTAAAGCGAAAATCAGGAAACCCTGCAGCATAAACATGATTTCAAGACCATTACCTTTCACAGTATACAAATAAATTAGTCAAATATTTATCAGGATTTCCAAGAAGGAGAGAAAATTGCATATCTCATAAATGGAGAAGCATCTGTCTTCTCCTGCATAGTTGACAGCTTTTTTTTTCTCAGAATTCTAATAAATATCAACTGACTCTAAGTAAAATAATAATAGGGACTGAATGACTTTAGAGAGTTACCATCGAACACTGACCTGAGTAGAGTTAAGTATGGTGAAGATGTAGGCGAAAGCTTTATGTACAGGCGAAAGTAGACCAAATAGCCACGTGACACCCAGCAGGGGAATTATCACCACGCATGCTTTGATGCCAAGTCTATAAGTTGAAAAAAAAATTCCTTTAGTTTCCTTTGACAATTAATTTTCATCGTTAGATATTGTGATGCCTTACTCATTAAGGAATGGGAAAGTTAGGCGAATATGCCTCAAAAGCAATCTCTTCTACTAGTTTGTTTTAGTTTTATGTTGGGAATCTTACCGTATTTGCTGAAAATGGTTGTCTTCCGCTGTTGGCTGCACCAAATTGGTCATCTCCTTTATGACTCGTACGAGTATCAACATATTGAGCTGAAGAATACAATAGAAATAAATTAGGTATTAGGAAATGGTAGTTGAATCGCCAAGGTAAGAGCGGATCCTTTCTCGCAAAAAACGTCACCAGTCTGGTAACAAGGGTTGGGTACAGAGTCTTCTACAGGGAATAGAACTTCCAACCGGGGGACCTAGATTATGAGCTTAGATCCTTTACCAAAGAGCTAAAGAAATCGCGAACAAAAGTGTCCACACTAAATGAACTACGCTGAGTGAACCTCATGTTAAATAATATAAATTCAATATCTCCGTCTCTTTCTACTCATTTCCCCTTTTGCAATATTGCTTTATGAGTTATTTTTGCGCTAGAATCATATCTTGATATATCAATGTGAAACAGTGACAAACATTAACAAGGAAGTGGGATAAGTTTTTCCTTTCCATACTATGTAGTAAAAGTTGGAGAATATATGAGGCTATCTTATGCCTGTGAAGACATTGTCTCAACAGGTTTTCCTCGTTATTGAAGGCCATCACTAGGTTAAAATTGACCAGCATGCCCGAAAACAGCACTACGTACAAAGTTTATTGTGGGTAAATAGTTAAATATTGTGTGGGGACGCATGGATCACCAACACTAATCATAAACTCACAATTTCAATGAAAGCCACAAAGGCGACAAATATCCAGATCAGGTTGTTAGTCGAGGAAAGCCAGCAACTAAACTCAAAGAAGTAAAAGACAATAAAGAAACACAAATTCTCAGCTAATGAAATAATGCCGATTCTAAACTGTATACAAACATATAAAAGAAAAATGCAATTTTTTTCCTCACTATTTATCACTCGTATAGCTTTGTAACCCTTCTTTCCCAGCAGCGATGCCAAGTGAAATGGCCACCATGATCATTGGAAGACCTACCCACAAAGAAAAGAAGGAAATCGAAACACTTCGCTGAATCACAACACCAGATTTGGCGATCCAAATGCATGGTTACAGTTACCAGTGCATGTTGTAAAATAATCAACTTACCCCATGAGGTGACGTGATACATGTACATCTTGGTGTTAATGTTGTAAACTTTCACAACGAAGAAGTAGAGATAAATTGCCTCGATCAGCATCCAACAGAAAGCGACCATCAAGAAATACTGCACCAGAGCTGCTACTGAAACACAGGCAGCCTGTGGAAAGAAAGAGTTTTCGTATAATTCTTAACGTGCTCCTTTCGACAAGATATCTACGGTGCAAAGAGTAAATTCATTCTATGGATAGAAGGAGAGGCCACTGACTTTGTGTTCTGTGGCGCTTATTCCGGCGAGGAAGATGATCTGTCCAACTCCAAGGGACATAGAAACACTCAGCCGAATTTGGGAGAGAGGTTGACGAACATCTCTAGTGAAATAAAAGTAAAAAAAGAAAAGGATGAATGAGACAAAAGCAACAACAACAACTCATTGAAGACAGCAAGAACAGCAAAACAAAAAATTTAATTAAAAGACACAGAAAAATATGGCCAAAAGATTATCTAAATCTTGACAGCAAAGGAAAGAAAAAAGTCAGTAAATAACTCCAGAAAGGACAAAAAAGGAAATATTACGCAGAAAATCTCTAAACCCTAAACAATTTATAAACCGTGAAACCATGAGTTGTCCAAGCGTTCTTGATGGGGCATGAATTGTAGCTTGAATTTGTGAATTATCCGACATGCATGTTCTTGTTTGCATGGTGATTTGCATTGGGATCTCTTTTCTCATCAACCTTGTTGAGGGGAGTTAAGAATCTACCTCATTATTATTCAGGTACATTACTTACGTGAGGCAAGAATAAAGTATGAATGTTAAAAGTATCCCGACGATGGAAAGGCTCAGTCCCACGTGGGTGATAATTTTCAGAATTGTTTCGTCCTCCTCAGTGAGCTGTGTAAAAAAAAGAAAAAGTAAAGGACAAAATTGAGTTAGTTCATTGAGTCCATAAAATAATTGAATAAGGAAAAAAATAACTTTATTACCTTTGTGCTACTGTCGTAGTCTATTAAAACGGCAAAATGCGTCAAATGATTGCAGCTGCAAACTGTTTCTTCTGAGTTGCTTTTTGATGTAACTACATGGCATCCTTCCTCTGAAAAGCTGTCAGACATGGAAAAAAAGTAAAGTTAACAAAAGGGCACATAATTATTCAATGTTTGGGGAAGACGTGATGTTTTATAATTTTTCTTCCATTGTAGTCCTAGTTGCGAGAACATTTCAATCAGACTTCCTCTCTCTAAAAACGACAACATGTTGCTTTCCAGGAAAGTGTTAATCTGCGCGAAAGTTTATTCATTCTCCTCCATATTTAATTTAATTTAAGAAGGAATAAATACTATACAATAATATATTGTTGTTTTTTTACCTTTTGCTGAGGCCACTCCAAAACATACAGCGCTTCTCTGCTGTCAAGACCTGAAAATGCGTTTTATCTTGTCAGAATAAATCAAAACAACACACAGCAACTAATTTTCACGTTACCTTTAGGTTTTTGAACTTTAGGATGACATTTTCTTCTAATTTCTCTGGCTTGGGGTCCATAGTAACGGCCATTATCCTGGACTTGATATACCTATGAAGAAATTGTATTTGAAAATGGACCAGAATCGAGGAAGCAATATTACATACTTTTGGTAGATTCAAGCCAATTTTTCATGAAGGTGAAATGGTCAGAGACAAGCAGGGAGTCTTCCAACTTTCCAAAAAGAGTTTTTGGAAAGTTTATCAGTTCAGTTTAGTTGAACTTAGATCTTACGTGTTTCCGTGTTATGTCTTTTTGGGGGTAAACGACATGGAGTAAGACGAAAATAACGGTACCTTTGGTGGTCTGTTTCACTCCTTATGACTTGATCAGCCGGGAGTAGGTCATGCAGATCCTTGTACACACACGCAACCACCATTGATCCTTTAAAACCCCCAAGAATCAACAAAAAAAGTTATCAAACAACAACATAAAAGACACAAAATTGAAAGTTTTATCAGGCTCTGAGGTATGTGAATTTTTAGCAGGCGAATGATTAAAGAAGATAGACTATGTAAACTAAGAAAGCGCCTTCATATGAGGCTTTGTTTCTATACAGAAATTTATATTGGAGAAACCAAGGTAATACTAAAAGTTGTGAAGTTACCACAATAGTTGATACGAACCATTTTCCTCAAAATTTGAAGAAGGGATATCGATTCTCGCTCGCCATTGTTGTTCCTCAAAGTGGAAGCCACTTGCATTCTTGTGATAGGCTTTTTGAATGACCAAAACTGTCGGGAAAAAAAAAAAAGACAAATGAAAGCAGTTACAGTGAAATTTACAATAACACGTCTACACAAACGTGCGTTTTGCGGTTTACACAAATATTTCATAATCTTATTAGATGGACCTGCCCTTCAATGACTATTCGACGATTTCAACCATTTTACAAGGTTTTTTAGGGCAAAACTGATGAAAAAGTGAGTAATACTGTACGGACTAAAATAGTGAAAACTCAATTGGTTCCTCGAACCGTTTCGTCGGAGAACTATAGAGTTCATTAGGGAGTTTCTATGAGAAAGGTTAAGAATGTTGCATTTATGTGCATCGCAGACGATAGGCCAATTTTGAGCTCAGTGTATTAAGTGATGCAACCGGAAAGTATTTGTAAGATTTGACAATTTTAGATCGTAAAGTGTTACTCATAAATTTATCATCTAAGAAAAGTTTCGATAAACAAAGCCAGAAGAAGGATTTCACAATTTGAAGGATTCCGATTCTTTCCTGTTGTTAACTATTCAAGAATACATTGAATTTCCTTCTACACCGCGAATAATCAAAGTATCAAGCAAATTAAAAGAACAGATGTATCTATGACATTCAACAGTAACGTTTCTAAAAAATTGGGCTTATAAATGAGTTCTTACATCATCTAGCTGTAGTAAATTAGATAATTCAGTGGGTCAGTCAGCAAGTCAGTAAGTATCAGAGGAATAGACTTCGAAACTAAACAGGATTGAAGACCACAAACTCACCTATTTTTGGGAAAACGATCCTTTCCAAAGAGCTCTTTCCACTCAAGTTTCGCTTGCCATAATTAAGAGCAAATTTTTCGACGGCCTCTGCCACCTCCAAGATGGACATTCTAAGTGTTTTAACCTCTATTGTGCCGGCCTTGTCTTTTGTGACGTTCTTGATTTTTATAGTGAAATCTTTAAACACAGCTACTGCCTCCTACAATTACATAAAATTTTTCCAGGTCATTAACCAGCCAGTCTCATATGTACAATTCATGTTAAGAATGCGGAAAAAGTCTAGCAGGAGGCCCCAAATGATTTCCACGATATTTATTGGCTAAAGTACTCTTTCATGCGCCTGAATTAGTTTTTAGGCCTCAACGTTTTCAACTCATGTGGCTTAAAGCCTTTAAATTATAAACTTTTAAGTTGTAAACTACATACCTGTACGGAATTCCTTCTGGTAATATTAATTCTGCCAAATTTTGAAACATACTCCTTTATCTGGAATAAAAATCAATGTCTGCCACATTTGTAAACAGAGAACATCCTGAAAAGCGACGTGCATAAAAAATGGTAAATGGCTATTTAGAAAACATACCAGCTGCCGAAGTGGCGATGGCGACGGCGATGGTGACTTGGACGGCGACGAGGACGACGACGGTGACGGCGACGACGACGGCAACGGCGACGGCGACGACGACGACGACGTTGACGGCGACAGTGACAGCGATAGTGACGGCGACTGTGACGGCGAGGGCGATGGTGACGGCGACGGCGACGGCGACGGCGACGGCGATGGCGATGGCGATGGTGACGGCGACGGCGACGGCGACGGCGATGGCGATGGCGTGGTTGCAAGTACTATTCCGAGTGATGATGAAGGCGACGGAGTTTCCGTAGATATTGATGAATCTTTAAAGAAAATTGTTAATCAAGACCGCATCATACGAAAAAAAGCCTTAGTATTATACTGTAAAGACAAAAATACGGACAGAAAGCGGAGTAACAAAATGGCTGTTATTAACGATCAAAACTCTTAAATCCACTCGATTTTTTATTGGTTATGCACAACACTCTTAATGTTTCCTTTGCATTAATTTCGTCTTTCGCACACGTCTTGTATGATCGATGCTCTGATAGGGCTGTAGCATGTTTCTCGAAAATACTAGTGAATAAAATAATAATGCAATAATACATTCCTGAATTACTCGTTTAACATATAATACGAGTACACATTTTGCCCACTTTTTGTCATTTCAACTCGCCCTTACGCTTAGAAAATGCCACTCAAATCGCAAAATATCCGCATGTATTTATTGTTAAACCACTGAATATGACGTTTTCATTTCTTACTTTATCTTAAACTGTCTCCAATGAATTTACTGACCCTTTTCAGGAGTCCGTTACTTTTTGAATTTTTTGGTTTAACCTTGATCGTCTCGCTGGAAAAAGACTTCTAGCATTATTATTTAGTTTTTGTATAACAACGGTTTTTTTTTTAGCCGGAACACTCTCGCAATGTTTGCTATTCAAGGAAGGGGTCGCATCTGGGAAAAGCGCAACCCTAACTTTTGCAATTGAAAAAAGCTTAATTCAAATCGTTGAAAATATCAAAAGCCCCGTAGTGCTTAGGTGGGGCAGGCAGATTTAAAAAAAAGTAGAGTTAAAGAAAAGAAATCAGAGCAGTGACTGCCAATGCTTGTAAGTGAACCTTGGAAAACACGCGGGAGCTTTCTAGATCTTCGCGCTTAAGATATGGATGGTCAACGGTCAATAATAAGCTGGGGGGGGGGGGGTGGGGGTTAGGGGAGTGAAGATTACGCCTGTCCGATGACATTGTTATTTTGAAAAACCCCGCTCACCCACGACAGGAGTTCCTGATTGGTGTGGTTAAGCTCCAGCTGTGAATCACAAGCCAAATGTGTCATTTGAACATGTTGCTCTTGCGGGAAAATGCGAAAGATGGGAAATTTTGTAAATGATAAAGTTGTCAGTTTCGATTCCGCTTTCGAGGAGGCACTTAAGTGTCTTCTGGAATGTAGTATGTCTCGCGCATTAAAATCGAAACAGAATGAAGTAATCAGTTCTACACAGGTTCTGGAAAGGATCTACTTGCCGTAGTGCCAACTGGCTTTGCGAAAGGCCTGATACTTCGGGTATTGGTTAGCAGGAAAGAATCCCTCGAGCGTAGTTGTCGTTTGTCAGGTTATGATCAAATGGATTAACGGATTAACGGTAGCTACGCTCACGGCTTTTCGTTTGGAGGACATAGAGTGCGAAAAATATCAACTGGTATTTGCGTCAGCAAAGAACGTTTTGGTGAGGCCTCTTTTTTACGTTGATAAAAATAACACAAATAACTTACCATTGGTAATCTCACAAATATAAGCGTTCCGTCGACCTGTACGATTAACACTACCAAACACGCCCTGTTCGCCATTAATGGACCGCTTGCACATGATAGCTGCATCGTGTTCACCACTTGGCTTCCATTTTCCCCATTTGCAAAAAGTCAGCGGTCTTCCACTCACCCAGGTCCAATTCCCGGCCTTTTTTCTTAAACCAATACTCCAGCTGTCGTTATAGCCTTTTTTAGTATTTCGCCTTTGAATCTCGTTATTGATGAAATTCCATTCTTCTTCGGTTTCGATGGAAATTAGGTCCCCTCCTTGGCTTTGGCAGATGATTCTGTTCCAGTTCCAGGACCATCCATATACCGAAATTATGTACCAAGAGTTGTTAAAAGTTATATTTGGGCATTCTACAAAATGATAAAGATGAAAACAAAAATACTAATTGTCATAAAGGTGATAAATAAACTGATAATTATGATAATTATGATAACATAAAAAGATAATAATCACAATCACAATAAAGGAGAAAATGAGATGGGAAACGTAACTTCCTCTCTATTTGATTCCTATTTTTTTAACATTATGTTTGATCAGTGTCAATTAATAGAATACATCTTTTTTTCACTACGGTGTCCGCAATCTCTGACCATTTCTGAATCAGTTAACTTCACTTCACATAAGATTATTTATGAGTTCATGTAATTTTGGTAGTTGTGTTTTTGAGTAATAAATTAATTCCTCGTTGAGCTGACACCTCCCTCCCCACCCCGCCCCCTATTCTTTCTCCCCCATCTGAACAGACTTAAAAAAACGTGAAATTAAATGTGTGTAAGTTCTCATAGATGTGCAACCGGAGATACGCAGTTAACCGTATTCAGTTGTTACGGGAAAATTTTTCGGAAAAAGAGCAGAAATTTAAAGTGCACGGGACAATCTCAAAAGATTATCTGGGTAACGGTAATCAATATGGACTTAAAAAGTAAAGATAAATTAATTAGGGTTGGCTAGTTCTTGTTTTTGTTTTTCAGCAGTTTAGAATTTAAAGTCAGTCTTGCACATAAAATAGGTTCATCAACCCATGATGCCTCGTCCTTAAAAAGACATTTTCTTAGATTTCCCTGAAATCCTGAGGTCAATCCTTGACATGACCTGAAAGCTACCCACAATACATTTCGGGTTATCGTTTGCACTTTTGAAACGCTTTTTTTCCGACAATCTTTCTCAAAAGAACTCTATTTATCATTTGTTTTTCTCAGAGGGCATGGTAACGAATCCTGCAATATTATTGATTATTGATGCGGTCCGTATTTTCCCAGCTTGAGCGAGCCGCAGGCTATATCTCTAGCTTTGTTGCCAATTTTCGTAAATTCATTTCGTTTTGCCGGCTGGGCAGTATTTTTACGCAAATCATTTCAAAGAAAATTAAGCCGATTAATAAATTATTAATCCTCTCTTTCTCTCTCTCTCAAATCGCTTTGTTTGCCTGCAAAAAAAATGGTTTTGAAATGAATTTTGGTAACAAATATGTCATTAAATGGGTTGACGTGCGGCCTAAAAACCGTTCGTAATTAAACTAAACCGTCACTAGAAGTAACTCAGAAAGTTCAAACGTGAAGTATTTGTTTAAAATTGAAATCATCAATGGAAATTTCATTCATTATATGTCTGAACTCTCTTAAACAATTTGTTCCTTGAAGAACAGTGAACGAAATCTTCTGTACTTCAAATACGCTTTCTGTAAGTCTTTGCAACTCTGCTCAAGTTGGACACTGGTACTGTAAATTTCACAACAGAAAACGAAGGAATTCAACACTAAAA